TTTATTTAAATGATGTGTGAAGTAAATATTTGTTAACAATGAACAAGGATACAAAGAATATTATTCATACATAATGTCATAATTATATATACATGCATTTTCTACCAAAAATGGGATTGTGGGTTATAATAGAAATAAAATTGACATGAAATATCAAGAATTGAAATCAATTTTCTTTATAACAAAGAAAATGATGTCAATGAGAGTGTTAAATAGTATGGTACAAAGAAGGGTAAAAAAACCCTAATTTTTTAATGTACTTTCGACATAGTTACAAACCTCTCACTAAACTTAAGCTCCTGCTTGGCATCCATTTTAATGAATTTTAGAATAGTCACTTTTTGAAGAATGTATGATTAAAAAGTATGGAAAAATTTTGGGTTCACGTGTAAAATATTTTATTTCGTGAATATGTGGTTGAAAATTAGGAGAAAAAAAAGTTTTGATTTAATGAACTTCAAATAGGGACTAAATGTTTTCAATTAGTCATTGTATTTTTAAAAGTTGTTTCACCGATGGACGCCAAATTTTACGATTTTTTTCGAATAGCCACTATACTTTCAAAGTAATCCTCAATAATCGTCAATTCAGATTATTCAAAAAAAATTAAAATTTCACTTTATCATATGATCAAATTTGCTAATTTTCAAATATAGGAAGATAATGTAACGAATGAGAAACAACGTTAAAAGTCGAATAACTATAAACTTTAAAGTTGAGCAAATATTGAGAACCAATATTAATGGAAATTTTTTTCATGATGTCTCATTGTCTCTAGTCAAGTCCATCTCCATGGTTGACAGTGACTAGAAGAAAACAATAAAATATCCAGATAAAGTCAAATGGATATTTGGAAATATAATTGTATGTTTGACAGTATCATAGGAAAACATGGAATTTTATTGTGAAAAAATATTAACAGATGCCAAGATTTTTTCCTGATAAATCTCATCTAAATGACAGAGGGAGTTTCCATCTACTTCTCTCTCCATTCTTTTTCGGCCACTGTTTGGTCCGAATTAAAATCTGATGTTAAAATTTAATTTTAATTCAAATCAAAATTAAACAATCAATATTAACTATATTTTTCATGGATCCCACAACTTTTCAACCACACTTTTCAAAATCAAACACCCTTTCAGTTTTTCGTATTTTAAAATAATAAGACTGCAGATTTGACATTTAGCTGTTAACTGTTGACTGCACGGCCAAAACTCCTAATCCGGTTTCAACTTGTCTTTAAGGCCCCCACACGTTTCTTAATCCATATAATATTGGCTCATTCTCAACATCTCTCATATCTCTTCTCTCTCTCAAATTTCTTCTTATTTTTCTCCAATCAATTCTATAGATACAGAATCCCCTTATCATGGTATGCATTTGTGTTGAAGTTGATGATTTCGATCGTTATTCTTGTTTAAGTAATTTCTATAACTCGTTTCTGTTTCTTTCTTAATACTCGTAGGAGACTAATGTTGACGATAGCAGCATCCGATATGAACAGGTAAAGCCTAGTTTTCGTATTTTATTAGTATTATCTCTCACTGAATGGGTTCTTAATCTGAATAATAATTAACTTTTCCAGGAATATATATTGAATTCAAGAGGACTGAGGCTTTTCACCTGCAGATGGTTGCCTGTCCATTGCGAACCAAAAGCTTTAATCTTCTTGTGCCATGGATATGCCATGGAAAGCACGACATCAATGAAAGGTCGATAACTCGGATATTAGTATATATAATAAAGACAACCTTAATATTGTCGAGTCCAACCTTAGAAGTGTGTGGTTTGATTGGAACAGGGTGTGGAACTAGGCTTGCAAAGGCTGGTTATGGAGTTTATGGAATGGACTATGAAGGCCATGGAAAATCATCTGGCCTTTCTGGTTATATTCCTAATTTTGAGAATCTTGTCAATGACTGTTCTGATCACTTTACCAGCATTTGTGGTACGTAATTAACTCAAGTTTTACTGTCTATTTAATCGTGTTTAATATATAATATTACAAGCACGAGGGTTTCCCCCTGCTGACTGTGGAATTAATTGTATGCAGAAAAGGAAGGAAATAAGAAAAAGATGAGGATTTTAATGGGAGAATCGATGGGAGGAGCGGTGCTGCTCCTTTTACACAGGAAGAAGCCGAATTACTGGGACGGGGCCGTCCTTGTTGCGCCCATGTGTAAGGTATGTCATTTTTTATTTTTTTTGTTCATTGTAGTGTCTAGTCATGTTCATCCTTTATCGACTTGTCTTAATGAAATATCTATCATGTAATGAAATTTGAATAATTCGAAAAACTTAATTCTTTTGACATGGCTATTACCCAATTTTGTTAAATATTGTATTACTTTTGATTATCATCACGACAATGTCTTGTAGGAAGACCCCGTCGTTGATGGCTATTGATGGCTACTATGACAAATACTACATTCGTCCCATAAAAATAAATCTTTTTTTCTTTTTCGTTTGTTCTAAATTATATGTTATTTTCCTTATTATAAGTATAGTCGATTTCATAAAATTTTAATATGCTCTTATTTATTGTGCTTGTTATCAACTAATTATACTATTATTTAATGTGGGAATACATTAGAAAAAATTTATAAATAAAATTATATTTTTTAATCCGTGTACAAATGAAAATAAATATATCTTTATAAGAGGGAGGGAGCAACCAAAATGTTGAAGGCGGCTGAAACAATTACTCTGTAAAGGGGTTTGGTGAAATTAATATTCAAAGTAACCCAGAGACTTTGAAAAGTGTTAAGTTCAAAAAAAGAATAAGAAAAGAAGGAAAAGAAGGAAAGAGGATGAAGCAAATGGTCAACTTTGTCGTTGTCAAGATTTTTAAAATCGTGGGCCACATCCTTTTGTGAGAGGGCTGTCATCCATGTACATCTAACATTTCTTTTTAAATAATTGAAATTAGCTAATTTTATATGTAGATCTCTGACGAAATGCGGCCGCATCCATTAGTTTTGAATGTTCTGACCAAGCTCTCTCGGGTCATCCCCACTTGGAAAATTATTCCAACTCCAGATATTATCGACGTTGCCGTCAGGGTTCAAGCTATAAGGGACGAGGTAAATTTTTTTCTTTATATTTTCGGATTTCACCCGAGTTGTTTTTTTTTTTTTTTTCTCACTTTTAAGCTATAACTTAAACAAAAATGCTAATTATTTCCTTTGAAAAATGACAGATTAGATCAAACCCATATTGTTACAAGGGAAAGCCCCGTCTTCTAACTGGAAACCAACTCCTAAAAGTCAGCATGGAATTAGAGACAAAACTTGAAGAGGTTTCACTTCCATTCTTGCTTGTTCATGGGGGAGATGATAAAGTCACCGACCCATCTGTCAGCAAACTTCTCTATGAATCGGCTTCTAGTACAGACAAGACCTTCAAGTTGTATCCAGGGA